AATACGGTGGCCTAAATTGTTCGTACTTTTAGCAAGCAAGTGGGGGGAAGACAGGCTAACCACCATCCCGATACCTTGACTATAGCTGGAGAGTGTAGCGAAAGAATAGGGTGGTCTAAATTGTTTGTACTTTTAGCAAGCAAGTGGGGGGAAAGACAGGCCAACCACCATCCTGAATACTTCGACTATAGCTGGAGAGTGCAGTGAAAAAATACGGTGGCCTAAATTGTTCGTACTTTTAGCAAGCAAGTGGGGGGAAAGACAGGCCAACCAACCATCCTGAATACTTCGACTATAGCTGGAGAGTGCAGTGAAAAATACGGTGGCCTAAATTGTTTGTACTTTTAGCAAGTAAGTGGAGGGAAGGACAGGCCAACTAACCTTACTGAATACCTTGACTATAGCTGGAGAGTGCAGTGAAAGAATAGGGTGGCCTAAATTGCTCGTACTTTTAGCAAGCAAGTGGGGGGAATGACAGGCCAACTAACCATCCTGAGTACCTTGACTATAGCTGGAGAGTGCAGTGGTAATGTCTAAACTATAGTCTTTGACTTTGCAAAAGTTCTCTCCCTCGAAAGGTTATCGCTATACTATTAAACTATGTAACAGCTCACACTATACAAAGAATGAGACAGAAAGGACGACGACATTTAGGCTTCAATAGAACTTCATATAGGCTTACTCATGTACGTACAGGTTGGACTAGACTTTGGGTCGAGGATGCAGATAGGACTGGACGCAGTGGAGGGAATAAGATTCCTCCACGGACAAGGCCTTCTCCACAGAGACATCAAACTGAAGAACGTTCTGGTGAGTACCTCTTTTTCAGTAGGTACCGTTTTTAGGGTGTTTTACGTGAGTTTGCAGTCTGAGCTCTACTCTACTCTTTGTGTTTTGCCTGCATTTTGGGGTGGAAAACCTTGCAAGTTATGCGCTATGCAACCATTTTCCTCATTGCCACCAATATTACGTTTCGTTTCATTCACCCCCCACACACACACACCCTCACACCGGCACACAGCTGAACAACGCGAACAGAGGCACCACTCACAGATCTCGGTTTCTGCAAGCCTGAAGCCATGATGACCTGCACCATCGTAGGCACGCCGATCCACATGGCCCCCGAGCTATTCGGCGGTTCCTACGACAATTCAGTCGACATCTACGCATTCGGAATCCTCTTCTGGTACATCTGTGCCAACGACACGAAACTCCCCGGGGCGTTCGACGCCTGTCAGAACAAGGAACAGCTCTGGACGTCGGTGAGGAAGGGGTTAAGACCGGAAAGGTTACCGCGGTTCGACACGGACTGCTGGGAGTTGATGTGTTCTTGTTGGCTCGGGGAGAGCATTCAGCGGCCGTTGATTGGGGACGTGGCCCTTCGTTTGCACCTCATTATGAAGAGAATAGGACGAACTCCGCTAAAGTAGGGCATGTAGTGTAGGTTTCTGTCATCACTTTCACTAATTGAGGATATTAACTACTCTATTGTACTGTTTGACACGCTATTATTATTATTTTGCTTTTGCATCGACATTATTGTTTTGTAAACAAGTATTTGTACATTATTGTGTGTTGTATGTATTCTTGTTTGTAATAATACAGCATGACACCGATAAGTGCAGCACTCTATAGCTAAGAAGGACTTTGCAAGGATTTAAAAAATATGCTTATTTATTCAGCTTCTTAATTATTACGATAACTACTACTATGATAAGGATGACTGTTGCAAGTGCAAACAAAACTCCTAGAACAATCGCCGGGGTATTGCTGCAGCCATCTGCAGACAAGACAACAGCTACCACAATGTCAGCATAATGAAAAGGTTAAAAACCTGATGGTTGAACTCCTTCTACACTTGGAGTCTCAGACGGTAGTATTGTTTGTGTAACGGTCACAATGCAGCTGTCTAAAAATAGAAAATCATTACTAATGGTTGCTGTGTCAAATTTGCACTGAGGCACAAACCTGGGCACACGGTGTCAACATTGCAAGTCAAATCATCTTCACCACTCATGGCTGTGTTATTGCAGAGACATTGGCTGTTGTTGTCTATCAGGCAGGAGCATAGCTGGTCCTCTCCACACATTGCTGTTGTCATAAGAAACTATACCCCCTTACCCTAAAATTGCACTATACCTATAATTATTATAGTTAGTTAGTTGCAAACAAATTCATGATGTGCTGCTATAATAATATGGCACCTTGCTTATGTGTAATAGTTTACATCATTATGCTATGTCTGCACTTTAAGCTGAAATCATCATATTATTATTCTGGAAATACAGCTTCATGAATACAGGAAGTGTTTTCGTTCAAGGAGCCACCACACACAATTAATAGTTCCACAAGCTCCAGTGTGAAATGCCCTCCCTTTTGCCTTTGAAGGGCATGTTATTTAGGGTTTGTATTGTACAATAATGCTCACCCCTGTCTTTACATGCTATATACGCATGTAACAATAGACCATGTGATGCATGTATATGAAATACCCTTGTGCATACTGTGCATTAATACCACACCGCGGTTGCTAGTTTCTCGTCAGCTGCTGAATCTTTCCTCAAAGGTTTTGTGCTATTAGCTAACGGAAAAATAACCTCAGTTCAATACTTACTCTTGTCTGTACATGCTGGTTCAACCACATGCCATTCTCTCCAATATTACTGGAGTTGACGAGTGATTCTATGTTCTGAGTCCCTGAACAGGCAAAATATTCGGGATTCGTTCTTTGTCATTGCGTTGCTTTGTTGACACGTGCATTAAAAGAACACAGCTTCAATACCGGCATAAAATCCAACACGAGCAATAGCAGAATTTTGACCCTGGCTCCACTCCAGTTGATTGTAGAGGAAGATTGCAAAAGTCATATCTCCGTCAGTGGCTACCACACACTGGAACGTGTTGAGCTGCATAGATCGAGAATATAATGTTCAACAATAAGGTCATGGCAAAGCAAAGGCAAAACACCTGCACAGGTGGTGTTCAAACCCACACCACACTTCAGGCGAGTGCTCTAACTAAGGCAACTCAGTAGATAAGGGCTACAAGACAAAGGTAGACCTAAAATCATTGTGAACTGGGGTCTAGCATGCACCAGTGTGTCTGCCGGAACCTGTGACCAAAGAAAATGCGGAAATTGGCACAGTTCAGATCATTCACTATGTATAATTATACAGTCTGCTAGATAGCCATAATATTTTGATCAATGAAAGTGTTTTGTGTGCGGTGTGGTGTCTCCCTTAAACACAAAGGTTTGGCGCTGGATGTGAAATATTCATTAAGTGACTATTTACCAGGAGATCGTTAACATCATTTGTTATGGTTTAGATCATGCTGTTGTTTGCTAGAAGTTTAAAAACAAAGCTTGGTGCAAAACAAACTCAACTTTTTAGCAATAATGGTAAAAAGCTGTTAACGTCTCATGATGCAAGGGTAGCTATCTCATGCAATTACCGAATCATTTTTCCTTTCATAATATCCGACTCTGTCCCATGTTCCCACAATGAGATATGTTGGTTCAAAGCTCTTATACTGTGTCAAGTTTTGGATCTGCTGCTTTGCTCTTTCCAGAGAATTTCCGTCCGTCACAACAGGTTGACTGTAACTTATGCTGCCGCCTCCAACGCCTTCTACATCGACGTCCCCGTAGAACACGGCGATGATAGTATGGTTCCCTGTTGTGTTTTCTACGTGATTTAGTATATCGCTGCAATCAGCTGCACTAGGCTCATGACGGAACTCCAGTATTCCGTTGGCACTTACCTGCAAAACATATAAATTTAGCTGTACTAATGCCGCCATACACAACCTGTTTATTATTATTATACCACTGACAGTACAATAGGAATAGCATTCTCCGAAGAATCGTATAGGAGGACTTAGAGATATCGTTGGGGAGCATCCGTCGTCATCGACAATTGAGCAGTCGCTACACTCCCCGGTTCCATAAAATTCTACAGTGATTGCTACCCCGAGACAGGCAGCGAAACTCAGCGCTAGTAGACAATATTTCATTTTGGGTGTTTTCGCGTTCTGCAACCGTTTTCACAGAAACCCTGGATATTATTCCATTGTAAACCGGCGGAGATGCAGTGCGCATGCGCAAACAAACGCGACCGCCTGCTCATGGGCTCCAGAGAAGGTCGACTCTACCTCACGTACAGTTTCCTCTGCTTTGAGAGAAGTTGCGCGGACGGCGTTGATGTATAGATAATCTTCAACTCAAGGGTTATAAGTGCTGTATCGTTAATTATATCCCACGCTGTGCAAATCATTACTCTAGCTACTGCTATATAAAGATAATCACAATTTTTCTAGCTAGGATGCTACGGTAACTGCTAAATAATATGTGTGGTCAAAATATTATACAAGAGCCTCATCAAAGACACCGACAACAGTTCCTCTGGCGAAGTGGCTGTTGAGCATGTGGTAATGGCCGCTGCTGCATGGTCCCCTTTCCACACTCTTCATCATATATCGCTGCAGTTTAGGATAAAACAATGCCATGACTGCAATCCACTGGCAGTAATATGTTCACCTTTTATCCTATGTCCAACTGCATTCAGTGCTGGCTCTGACTCGAGAGCTGCCAACATGACATTGAAGGGCGTAGGTTCTATAGAAATGCGGCGCTCTAGTGCTGTTAGAATAGCTTGGATCCTCTCTCTGTCTGTTGCTGTGGAATGTATGGCTTTTTCACGCTCCTCAGGAGTTAGTAGGCTTTTGCTATAGAGCACAGGCACTAGACTGCTGGGGTCTACTCCGTCATGGAAAACCTGATGGCATCGTCTGAAAGCTCTCTGCTCAACAGACATTTGGCCAGACTGGATGTTTGGAAGGGCCACTGACTCTGCAATACAGAAATCAGGAAGTCAACACTTCAACATAATTTTGCGGGTAAAATCTGAAGCGGAGTATATAAAAGGCTAGCATTTGTCTTTTGATTCTCAAGTGTTAGGCATTTGAGCACAATTAGGTGCATTTTTAAGCTACGGAAAAACTCGCAATTCGCAATAGACATAATTATTTGCAATTAATAACCAGTCCTATGGTAATGTAACTTACTACTCCTGGTGATTCTTATGCAGCTGTCTTCTGGTTTTACTCCTTTAAATTTTACTCTCTGTTCAAGATCTTCGGGTTCACGTTCGACCATTTTAAGCTCCAATTGAAAGGCCGGAACGAGTAGTCCTCCTTTGTAGTTATCCAATGACTCTTTCACGAGCTGAATCAAGAGAAATATTATAATTAATTCCATATTCCACTACTCATTTTTTATCGTTAGGATGGTCTGTTTTACATATTGGGGTATATAATACACAACACACAATAGCGTAAAGCGTCGAGTGAGCATAGGTATGCACAAAAGGCAAGCATTGACTACTAATAATGGTGAAATAGTTTTATTTTGCATGAGCTGCACGGCTGTTTATCAATATTATAATGTGTCCTCAAAACAGAAGAACTTAAATTGGACTTATAAACTGCATGTCTCAAACGAGCGAATCCGTGTGTAACTAGGTGAGTGGCCGAATGCTACAGCTTGATGCTTGAAAATATTGACAAAATTGTTTCCTATAGCGATCCATCAAACAATAAGCCACTTGCACACACACCACTGTCGGAACAGATGCACTACGACAAACTGCTAGCCCCCTCGCTCTACCATTAAGATTAATCTCTTACAAGGGGTGAGGAAAGGGGACACAATCTCCAACCATCTTTGGTCCATGGCTCTTCAGGAGTGTCGAGTGTTATTTGATCCACTCCAGGTTTGAACTTGACCGCAATTATATTTGGACCTTCTAGAGCTCCTTTCCCCTCGTAAATCTCATGCACTATCTGCAATAGAATTTAAAAAAATATTAGTATGATGGGGTTTGGTAATAAAACACGTGAAATTACCTTCACGACTAGGTCTTTGCTTTGGGTGACAGTAATATGAAACTCTTGTACATTAAGTGGTTTCGGCACATAGTAGGTGCGGATGGCATAGTTACGTGACCTGCCAAGCACTGCAAAGATAGAAAAGTGGCTGACTTCGATAGTAGCCTCTCCAGACTCAGGAAAGTATCCTCCTGGCAGACGCTCAAAGATGTAAGGCGGTGTATCTCTGGCAGTGTAGAAGGAGAGCGCTGTATTTCATCATCATCTTCCTCTTCAACCCACGGAGGCGCAGTGCTGGAGACATAAACTGACTTTTTTGCGGAAATTTTCGACTGGGGGATTAACAGAGATAGAGTAGACCCCACTAACAGGACTAAGATCATCTGGAAACTGATATTCCCCCTGCAAGCTGGCCTGGACATACATGTTGACTTGTCCAGTGCCCTGCTCCACACCTCCACAAAGGGCACCCGCTGGAACCGTAACTTTGAACCCATGGTGCTTCCAGTCGTAGGTTAGTGCCTCTTCTGGAGTGATTGCTATCTCTTTCTGTGCTAGTATTTCAGCTTGCTCAACATCGGGGAATGCTACAGATGTGAGAGATACTCTGTTCTTGATTGACCACACCAATTAGCAGAGGAATAGCTATCACTATAAGTTTATTATGTGCATAGTAAGTACAACAGAATTATATGTGTACTGCATAGTAGGCTTGCCACTCAATTACCAAGTATATTATATTCATAGTCGTGGGGTTATTATAATTCCTGATCTTGAACAGTACCACAAGTGGAAAAATCATTTCTTCAAAATGAAAGGGGGATATAGGGATGGTTTGAAGCACCAAAAAGGAAGAAACAAGGGGTTATTACACAGCAAAGATGCACAAAGCTACATGACACCATCCCTATATCTTTGTCTGATATTAAACTTTACTTCAAGGTAAACTGTTGCAGAGTGGAAATGACGGAGACGTCAAGCGCGGCTCTTTCCCAATTAGGGAGGAAAATGTCAGCAGGGCGAGATTGGTTGTGAACAATAACACAAAGATATAGGGATGGTGTCATGTAGCTTTGTGCATCTTTGCTGTGTAATAACCCCTTGTTTCTTCCTTTTTGGTGCTTCAAACCATCCCTATATCCCCCTTTCATTTTGAAGAAATGATTTTTCCACTTGTTTCCACTATTTTTCACGCCTTATGACAACACTGCATTTTCAGTCACTCTGATGTTCATGGGTGTTGTAGAGATAACTGTTGAAAGCAGAAGTTAATGGGCTGCTCCTACCTGAAGCAGGGTGTATGCGTAGTGTCTCCAACAAGGATGCAATTAGATTGTGGCACATATGGTGGGGTGGTTTCATAGGCAGGCTTCAGTAATCAGACTATAATGATAGCTATAACCTGGGGGACAAAGAATGAAGGCGCTGTGCAAGGCCCGCGTAACACGGCGCACACGGCCAAGTTGCTCCTCGTGCAAATCAACAGCTAAACGCAAGCTAGCCAGTTAAAATGTGTATACTGACTTACAGAAGGCACTGGAGGATAAGAATTCCTCTGCAGGCTAGGCATCCTGGCTTAGTCTCGTGCACCAGGTTCACGCACGAAATGCGCGCGCACCGCATTGGGGAAACGCCCTCCTCGGCGCATGCGGCTCACTGATGCTGAGTTAGCAGCAAATGGCGTTGTTCAGTGACTACCGTGGAAGAGCTCAATGATCTACCGTAGTGACTTGCGGCAAGAAACAAGCGATCGCTTGATATGCGTGCACACCTCCGGAAAATTTGGAGACGTTCTGTGAAAAAACCAACGCTTCAACTGCTTCCGGTAAGGAGCTAGCGGGTTTGACGAAGAAGAAGATGAAGAATATTATTATTATTATGATGACACGGAAATCGCGAAATCGCGTAAGTGCGAATTCTCTGGTGGGGAACTGAGGGCACGTAGGAAGTCTTGGGGCATATGTATAGCTAGGTATTGGCCTCTAGACTATTGCTAGTGATTTTGAAGCCATGGTGAGTCATTCTCGCTGAGTTTTGAGGCGTTTTGTACGCGGATCACGTGAGATTTCACTCGTGTCATCCCTATATAGAGCGTCTACCGACGCTCTGATTCATAGTCGTGGGGTTCAGTGTGGTAACTTGATAGGCTCACAAACACATTCTACAATCTCTGTAACATAATTATAATTCCTGTACGTCAACAGGCACAGTCAGTACGCCCATTTGTTCATACCGACCACACACAAGATACTCCTTTTGATCTGCACAGAGCAAAGGCGCGTTTTAATATCCAGCATCAAAGCAAGTGTTGGGAGCAAAGTATCTGCCTGGAATCCTATTGCAATGCGACGTACGCATTTCAGAGAATTACACATGCTGATATAAGCATGGAAAAGCATGGTTGAAAGTGATAGGACTGAAAACTTTAATTTAGTCACAGGCACTCCACTGGACACTAAACAGGATGTGTATGTTTGTTTTAGTGCAATTCTGGGAATCGTAGAGATAAAGATAGCTAAGCAAGGCCTGGTATACTTTCACCAGAACTTTCTTGTTATGGTTAAAGGTCTGGCAACATTGCAGAACTACATAGTAGCACGGCTAACTAACATGCTGCGGCAGGGGAGTTCTGCACTTACTCCAGTTACTTACAATTCTCTATGTATGCACTTCATCTCTGTGATGGTTTTTGCAAAAAATTGAAGGCAATCACATGCCTTAGAGAGCTTTAGTGTTTGTACCCTTTACTTCATATAAGACTAAGTTTTGAGTCATGAAATTCGTTGTTGGTTACTCAATGCATAGTATGCCATAAGAAAACAGGTTATGAACATGGGTTACGAGCTAAGAACAATGAAAATGCTAACCAGCATAATTATTTCGCGACTCAAAACTTTAGTCTTATATGAAGAACCAACCGAATGTACGGTAGCTTTCACTCCTGGAGCCCTAGTGCAGAATTGTGCATGTAGCTATATACATACATGCACATAGTCTGTGTAATTATTAAGCCTAGGTAGGATGGCAAGGCTGCAGGCTGAAAAAAGCAGTACAGGCATCATGGATTCAAGCTGAATACGTTCCTGTTATAACGCATGAGCTCTGAGGCACTTACCCCCTGTTAGTAAAAGAATACGAATGACATCGTACTCCTGAATACTGTAGTTGCTCAGGGTCTGTCCATCTTCCAGTTGCCCTCCATCATAGGTAAGCTGTTGCTGGTCTGCTGGTATTCCCTCTTTGTCCTGGATTTTAGTTTTCACATTCTCAATGGTGTCACTGGCCTCCACCTCCAGAGGTATGGTCTTGCCTGTCTGTGTCTCCACATATATCTGCATCCCTCCTCGTAGCCGCTGGACCATGTGAAGAGTTGACTCATTCTGAATGTTATAGTCACTCGGTGTTAGTATATCTTCCAGTTCTTTACCAGCAAATACCAGTCGTATTGGGTCTGGTGGTATTCCCTCCTTGTCCTGGATTTTAGCTTTCACATCCATAATGGTATACCAGGCCTCCACGTCCAGAGTTATGGTCTTGCCTGTCAGTGTCTTCACTTAGATCCCGGTGATTTGAAATCGCGCAATTTCATTGGTCCAAACGCGGGATCTATTTTCCGTAGATCCCGCTGCCCCGGACGACGGGATCTATTGGGGAGCGAGCGTGAAGACGCGATAGGTAAGAGACTCGAGCGAGGTTTCAGTTACCAGCGGCGAGCCAGAAACGGTAGGCGAAATCTACAGCATTCCCTCGTCGTCCGCCGCGTTTCGCGGAAAAGGGCTCCGCCCACTCTACGCGCACGTATTTGCCAGAGCGTTCGAGGATTGGCTCGCGGGGAGCATGAGTATGTCGAGTTCCTTCTCGGAGTCTTCCTGGTCTAGACAAGATAGTAACAGCTCGCCTGGCGCGGCCATATCTTCGCAAACAGTTTGAATGGATCTAAACCGGTTAGACGCGTCGCCACGGTAACTACGCGTGGTAGAGGTGCCTCGGGCTCCCTAGTAGCGCCCTCGCTGCGCTCGGGACGCCGACAGCTCGGGAGCCCTCGGCACTCTACCACGCGTAGTCACCTCGGCTCCGCATTTAACCTATATATATATCTGCATCCCTCCTCGTAGCCACAGGACCAAGTGAAGAGTATACTCCT